AAAATATGTATGATAACTCTTAAGTTTGCAGTAATTTTTGGGCCAAATAAGAGCCTTATTGCCCCTACTCCTTTAGACCTCTTACTACACGGGGAACAACCTATATTTTACATTAAAGCTAGATTATTCATAAAAGTCAGGTTGTTAAAGTTATTTTGACCTGCTGTAATAAATAGATTTTATAAAAAAAAATCTTCTATAAAAGAGGCCCTTTTATTTTTTAATGTAGGATTTGTATTGTTATAGCCATGAAGTGTTTCCTTTCAAAAAGCCATTTAAATGACTAAATAAATAAGATAAGTATTAAATAAATTATTAACAGCTATGTCGATTTTTATTTTATCTATTTTGTTTAGATTTAACATAATCGAATATGACCTGTACAAATATTAGTCCAGTGATTTGGGTCCTTTTATGAGATTAATTTTATTTACTTAAAAACGAAACAACTACTAAGTTGAATGGGTGAAAAGTTCATTAACATTTCTCAATTGTAAGAATGTCACTATTATAAAATCATATATAATAAGCTTTAGAGTAATTAAATGTAGAAAATCGTACAATTGTGGTTTACAGAATAAAACCATTCTTTCGGAAGTGATCTATTAATGTCAACATTTATTACTTAATGGGTTACTGACCTGTATTATCAAAAATATTGAATGTAAAAAAATAATATTCAACTTAATTTTGCACTTTAAATAAAGAAAATATTTTATAATACAGATAATATCTGCAGGCTATTATGACATTGGAGTAATTAGAGCTAGAATTTGTATGGGCAGAAAATATGTTATTAATTTTCTTTGACAGTTTTAACAGTGCTACTTAAATTTCTATGACAGCTCTTTAGGCAGTTGATAGACACTTTTTTTTATTCTTTTTAACTTATAGTGCATATATGATTTAAATACCAACAATTCACTTTGTTTATTGAAAACTTTTTCTTGGCCCAAGCTGCAAGTATGAACTATATTGCTGCAATGCACTAAGTCTTCATTGTCTAGTAATATAATAAGTTGTTGCCTTGAGTTATCAAAAAAGGCCAAATCCTTCAAAAGTTTTCAAAGCTGTTTTTTTTTAATCAATTTAATTATGTTATTTTAAAAAACAAGGACTGAAATCATTTAAGATATGTCAGGTCAAAAGTATGACTCGAATGACTCCACCATCTTACTGTCATTGCCACCTTAACAATTGAAAGAGAATATCAGGGAAAAAACCACCTTATTGATAAGTTACTGAGGCTATTTCAACATATGTTGTTAATTTATAGTTGTCAAATTGAAATTCAATATTTCATTACATAATATTTTATTTCATTAAAACGCCAAAAAAAACCCTTAACAGTTAATATTTTGTATTGTAGCTGTTAAAGTATCAATGGTTTTTAATCAGGCATGCTTAGAATTCATGTTAAACAAGATATGACTTGACAATACATGTAGATTAGCTTTCTGCACATCTCCAGGTGTTATCTTATATCACAAGTACATTTACAATTAAAGTGGCTTTTTTATGAGGCGATGTTTAGTCCATTGCATGCTTTATTGGTGGAAATTTAGCAGTATTACAATTTACTCCTACCAGAATTATTCAGTCTATTGAATTTAAATGTTTGTTTTTTACATAATAAACCTGTATGACTTTAATTTTGCAATAAAAGGAGATGTTGAGTAAACATCAATGAGACAGCAGCCTAAAAACACAAAAAACCAATATGCCATATTATATAAAGTTCAGCGTACAATCAGCAATAAACAGATGCCCTATATAATATGTCAAGCTTTTAATTGCTCTGAGTCTAAAAATTCTGAATATGAATAACGTAAGAAGTCAGGTAACAAAGGCTATATACTTCTAAACTTTTAGTTAACTGTCTTCTAATTTTGAGAACCTTGCTATAGAGCTATCAGAGTGAAGTTCTATGTGATCGGTGTAAATGTTCAGTTAGTAAATTACACCTTACTCTAATTTAGTATGGCATTTTATCAATATAAAAGAGATCTATTGAGGTCTGTTGGTGTCCATATCACCATTTTTTTGTGGTCATAGTCATAGTGGTACAGTACTATGTTTCAAGTGATGACAAGATGTAAAAGTCCAATTTATAAAGTAGACAGTCTACTCAGTGTGAGCCAAGGCTCCGTGTTGAAGGCTGTACTTTGACCTATAATGGTTTACTTTTATAAATTGTGACTTGGATGGAGAGTTGTCTCATTGGCACTCATACCACATCTTCTTATATCTAGTCTAGACTCTTCTGTTTACTTAAACTGACACAAATTCGTTTTTCAATGAGGCAATTTTGGCAAAATTGTGATGTTTCTGATAAAAATGTATTTTCAAGTTGTGAAAAATTGTCTCTTCAGTTAATGTGATCATCACTTGTAACGTGAATATTATTAGATTTATGGCATGTTTGAAAGTACATTAGTAAATGCAACCTTTGTAAATAGATTTAAGTTCCGTGTATGGGACCCCATATTATTAGTTCCGACATGCAGTCTTATATGATAAGACATGTAAGAAATTAACATAACAAAAGTGTCAGCCCGTTTTGATGGTATTATACTCTTAACTTTCATTGTCAAATAAAATGGATCTGTTCTGCTGTGTTTATACTGCACTTAGAACTGAACAACCAAATTAGATATAGACATAAAAAAAATATATGAAATATCTAATGTACGATCTGTTGCTAAGTTTTTGAAGATTTATAAGTAATTTACAATTTTAGGTATTACAACATTTTAAGGTGTCACATCCTTTGAAATTGGTGAAAGTTGGATTCAAGGCCTTGACAACTTATAATACAAATCAATGTTGGCTTGTGTGGGTCTTCATTTTGGAAATGAAAGATCTGGCATAAAGCAAAAGATTACAAATGATGTCATATTATTATGGCAGCCTACTTATTATAACATATACAATGAAAGTTGAGTGTTCATATAAATTAGGTCGTAATTTGTCAATCAGTTACTGTAAATTCAGAAATTATTGCGTGCATTTATTATTGCGATTTTGTCATTTTAGACTAAATTGGGATTTAAATTTTTGCGATATTGAGAAACATCCTGCTTTATTCAAATAAAAAATGTCAAAATGCGAGTTTAAATTATTGCGAATATAACCCTGTCGCATTTTTCGCAATAATAAAAACATCGCAATAATTTCTGAATTTACAGTATTATTACTTAAATAGGGAACCAGTTATATGCAATGTAATTCTGATATGAAGTTTTCCACTTTAAGAGGGATTAAAGGCTTGCAGGAGACCTAGAACAGGAGACCAAATACAATTTCAATAAATAGTCCAGAGTTATTGTCAGTTTTATCAACCTTTCAAAATCTTAAGATTTACAAAAGCACAAATATTTGAAGTATGAAAACCTTCTTGTTCAAAGTAATTTTCACATTATTTGCTCCATGTAAAATTTAATTACACAGTTTGAAAATTTTAATTGTATGCTTAAAAAAGTTTGATTAAAAAGATATTTGATAAGAATTGATTATTTTGTTTGACAGTTTTAAGGGGTACAATAAAATGTAGTAGCTGTCTCACAGCAGGGCTGTTTACAATTTCTATTCAGTAATATCTTTTTATCAAAACTTGTTGAGATTAATCGATTATTCTGAGTTTTGAGAATAACAGTTTCATGTTGTTGTTTATGGGATTTGTTACAATGAGAATTTAAAAGTAAAAAATATTTATATATTCTCCATTTTTTAAGCAGTATATAATAACATTTTGTGCTGTAAGAATTTAGAAAGGAATCCCTTCAATCTAGTTTATAAGGGTGTGTTATATGCATCATATTGCTCAATTAGCATGCAATATTATTAGTACTTAAATTTTCCTTTTCAGAATTCTAAAGTTTGATTTTAATTGTTGTTGTTGAAGAAGAAAAGTTTTTGAAATGTCAAAACAAGTCTCAAGTTTTTGTTTATAGAATCAAAAATGTACTAGTTTACCCAGTCATAAAATTGTAATATTCTACAATTGAAAAAAAAAGAATTGATCAATTAAATATTTTATGTCCAAAATTAGATGATATTTTAATTGCTGTACTTCATTGAACTCGTTGAATTTGTGTATTAGAGAATTAATGGTTGAAATTTATTGTAAAATTTTAGTTATTGACACAAAGCGATGACATTTATGTTTTTTTTTAAATTTTGTTGTCGTGTGGATAAGAAAAGACAGAGAAGACATTATAATTGATACTATGATATTATTGGGCCATTACACATATCATTAGTCTACGTTTGGGTCTGTCAGTGATGGATAACTGTGTAATACACGTCCGATATTGATGTACAAATACGATGATGAATTGATATTAATAACAGCCTGTAAATTAATTCTAGTAATTATACTTATTTATATTGATGCACAATAAATATATCATCACACAGACTTTCGTAAATTCTTAATTATATATGTAAAGTATATGATAAATAACAGTGTCAGACTGTAGAGAGATTTATAGATATTTATACGTCTCAATTATTTCAAGGTAAAATAAACATTATTAAGATATCAGATTCCAATGATAATTTTGTCATTTTAAAGTTATGAAAAATATCCCAATGGTTTTTTGTCAGCATCTCTATTTTATCTTAATTGAAATTACTGCTTATATCATTGAAAAGCACTGCTAATTTCACTTGACTGTACTCTATGATATTTTAAAAACTACGTGTCTAGACACGACCCAATAGAGTGCTTACATAATGTAAAAGAAAATCATTATATTGGGAAAAGGTTTCATATATGTTAAGATTAGGTGCTATTATACACAAGAACTCCTTTTACTTACCAAAAATTCAGCCAAATCAGACTTAATCTGTGTACCTTGCTTCCTAGTTATTGTATTAGTTGCAGTAATATACAGCCAGTCCATATTTAAATTTAATGTCAAAGTTAATGTTTTTTTTTGCAACTTATTAGAATGAAGCTGTACATTTTTTATAAAATCTCTTTTGTTTATTTACAGGTCACCTTCAAAAGAAGGGACATTTTCATTATGGCTGACAACATTCCTGTCATTCGGCAGATTGACAGACAACTGTTGAACTGTGGGATTTGTCTGGAGCGATACAAAAGTCCAAAAGTTTTGCCGTGTTTGCACACTTTCTGCGCTACCTGTTTATCAGATTATATTCCATCAGAAAGTCTTTCGGTCACATGTCCCATCTGCAGACAACAGTCAATTTTACCACTAGAGGGAGTTTGTGCATTACAAACAAATTTTTTCATAACAAACCTAATGGAAGTTGTGGATCAGCCAAATATTTGTCGAACCTGCAGTGGACAGCCAGCACGTCCAGTGTCAAAATGTATGGACTGTAATGAATATCTGTGTGATAATTGTACCATGACTCATCAAGCTTTAGAACAAACACAGGAACATAATATTGTCTCATTACAAGATATATCTGGCTGTAGTGACAGTTTGGAAGAACCAACACTGGTTTGTCCAAGTCATGATGGGAACCAGTTACATTTTTATTGTTGTGCATGTGAAACAGCTATGTGTGAAGACTGTACAGCTGTAGAACATATGGGGCACAAAATGATCCCATTGGAGGACGCAATACAAGAACATAAAATATTACTTCAAAGTTTAATACTTGGTGCTCGAGAACAAGTCCCGTGTTTAGAAAGTTCTATTACCATGGTGTCGGAAGTTACTGAATCTCTACAAAATAATAGCAAAGCAGCAGAAGATAAAATTAATCAAACATTCAATGATCTAGTCAATGTTATTAGTGAACGAAAGACTGCACTTATTGCTGAACTGCAAACAATTTACGATCACAAATATCAAATATTACAAACACAGAAAGATACATTAGAAAGTATTCTGACCAGAATCAATAATTGCTGTGATTTCACTGAGGAGAAACTTAAAGGAGGAAATGAAACTGAAATCCTCTTAATGAAAACCGAAATGTCAGAAAAATTGCAGGAATTAGGTTCAATAAAATTACAGTATCAACCAGAAGAAAATACTTGTCTAGTCTATGATTCATCAAATTTGTCTAATCTACACAGAAGCATTGAAAAAGTTGGCTGTATTCAAAGTAATAGTGCAATAGCTTTTGAAACCACGGCAACGGGTGAAGGTCTTAAACTTTGTTACATTGGACGACCTTCTGTTGTAACGGTTACCACTAAAGACAGAAAAGGGGAACTAGTCAAATTGGGTTATGGAACATTAACAGCAGAAGTTAAAAATGAAACAGAAGAAAAAGTCATTCCAACAGTTCTAGATAATCTCAATGGGACTTACGAATTGTCATATTCGTTGTCAAAAGAAGGTACATACAAATTAGAGGTCAAATTGTATGATCAACATGTTAAGGGGTCGCCATTTAAGGTCAAATGTATTCCTGGAGGAGAAGAATTAGATCATTTTGGGGGCTCATCCAAAATTCCAAGGACAGTCAATGTCAAACAGAAAGGAACAAAAAGGCCATCAAGTTCAAGGTCACATGGGTCAAACAGACGTAGCAATCCAATAGAAGATGACTTGCTGATGAGAGTAGGCACTAAAGGAAGAAATAAAGGAGAGTTCACCAATCCACAGGGTGTATGGGCTGTAAATGGAAAAGTGTTAGTTGCAGATAGTAACAACCAAACAGTTTCAGTGTTCAATACAGCTGGTGAATGCAAATTACGATTTGGTGCACCAGGTAGAATAGCTGGAAAATTACAGAGGCCAACTGGAGTGTCTACAACTGTCAATGGGAACTATTTAGTTGCAGATTATGATAATAAATGGATCAGTGTTTTTTCCCCAGATGGGAAGTACATTAACAAAATCGGCACTGGAAAACTTTTAGGACCCAAAGGGGTTGCTGTTGACAAAAATGGTCACATTATTGTAGTAGACAACAAAGGAAGTTGTGTTTTCATTTTTCAATCAAATGGAAAACTTTTGTCAAAATTTGGCTCCCGTGGTAACCGTGATTGGCAATTTGCTGGACCTCATTTCGTAGCAATTAATTCTAACAATGACATTATTGTCTCAGATTTTCACAATCACTGTGTTAAAGTATTTAATAGTGAAGGGAATTTCCTATTTAGTTTCGGATCAAATGGTGAAGGTAATGGACAGTTTAATGCTCCAACAGGAGTAGCTGTGGACCAATTAGGAAATATCCTTGTAGCAGATTGGGGAAACTCAAGAATACAGGTAAATATGTTAAACATGCTTTAGGGGAAACTCCAGAATACAGGTAACTTAGTGACAACATGATTTAGGGGAAACTTGAGAATACAGGTAAATTAGTTAATATTGAAGTAATGAAGTACATTGACTGTTTTACTGTCAGCACTGTGTTCAATGAAAATTTCAGGATTTTTATTCAGTATGAAATTAAGGTGATGTGATATGATTGCCAATGAAACAGCTATCCACCAAAATGACAAAAGGACAAGGAAGAAAGAAGCTTCATGGCCTTATATAACTTGTTGCTGTCTCTTAGACATATACTCACCATCTCCTGTTGTGTCTGCTAATATGATAGCCAAAAATTATTCTCCTGAAGTTCAGTGGTTGTCATTTGTTGATGTGTTTCATAAGTGTTTCTTGTTTCTCGTTTTTTTATATAGATTAGACCGTTGGTTTTCCTATTTGAATGGTTTTACACTAGTCATTTTTGGGGCACTTTATAGTTTGCTGTTCGGTGTGAGCCAAGGCTCCTAGTTAAAGGCCGTACTTTGACCTATAATGGTTCACTAATTGTGACTTTGATGGAGAGTTGTCTCATTGGCACTCATACCACATCTTCTTATATCTATTAGGGTCAACCTTGCCTTATAGATTGCAACCATAGTTTTTGTCAAATTAGTAAAATTTGCACATTTAGAATTTTATACAAATGAAATGTTATAAATCATGTTAAATATGGAAACATTCATTTCTTGATCATTGTTGATGGATGATATACTTTGGTACTAACATTTCTAAAACAGACCAAATAATGTACTTTGTAAGTGATGAAAACTATCCTTTTAAAGAACATTTTGAATTAGTGTTCTTAAGGCTTGATTTTATTTCTCTTAAATGTACATAAACTTAAGCATGTGAATATGAGAAAATATTATCAATTTAGTTTCCTGTTTAGTACTTTTCCCATTTTAACAGATTATAATTCAATATATATATCTTTGATTAGATTGTAATGTACCATTTCCTGTTTGTTATTACCTTGCGACATTGTAATATGAAATCAGGTAGAAACATAGTCATGTCAAACTTTTAACGGCAACAAAAAATTTCACACATCCTGAATGAAGATCTAACTTTGTTAATATTAAAAGTACATAAAATGCAAATGCAAAGAAAGTTACCCTTCTGTATATTTAATTTTGTTTCAATTTTATATTACATGTATAAAGTGCAGACACAATTGATATTAAGTATCGGTAGATTTCTGTTTTAATTAAGTACTCTTGCCAAGAAGATATTTCTGAAGCCTTCGTATCTGAAATGGTTAAATGAATTTGCTTATACTGTATATCATGTATATTGTAACTCACTTCACAAACACAATTTTGTATGGAGAATTACTCTCTCTCTCTCTCTTTAGCATGATTAGCAGATCTACATATCACTTAAAAATATTGTGATTTTCATTTAAACATCTATGTTTGATAACCACCTTGAAATTATTGGTCTTATTTAGCCTTGAACAATGTTGAATTTCAGAGTTGTTGTAATTTGAGGTGACAGTTCTGCGAAATGTTCATGCTATATCTCTTGTAAACATATATAAAGACTGAATTAATTTGACAATATTGTACACTTTGACATTGAGATTCCATAAGACATTAGAAGACAAGGAAACTAAGTTTAAATGACTGTGAAGGTTCAAGGCTTATTCACAAAAACAGGATTAAAATTATCATTTATTTTGAAACATTTTATATTTACTTTGTTAGATCAGCACTGAACAGTTTATCTGTTTTAAAGATTTCAAAGAAATATTGACCTGTGAATTGTAATTGACCAAAGGTTCATTTACACCTGCCTCGAAGTAATGCTATTCAAAACAAACATCATTTGGTAAAAATTGACATTTACAGTCTTGTAAAACATTGTATGTCAAACAGAAGTTTAACTTTTAATATCTAATAGCATGAAATCCCAGTGAAAATACACAAGTGAAAGAAGACATTGCTGCTGTAATACACAAACTTCTAGTTCTTGGAATCTACTATGACTGCGCTTTGGTGCAGTGGCGGATCCAGAGGGGGGGGGTTCCGGGGGTTGGAACCCCCCATTTTTTTTTGACGATCAATGCATTTGAATGGGGAAATATAGTTGGAACCCCCTTTATCCTGGGTTATGAACCCCCCTTTTATAAATGGCTGGATCCGCCCCTGTGGTGGGTTGTAAAACCAAAAAAAATTGGTCTAAAAATAAAGGAAAATGGTATTTCCTTCAATGGAGGACAAATTCAAATCTGATATATAATTATATAAAATTGATTAAATAACCAAATTGAATATTGATGAAATTGCAAAAAGGTAAATTCTCAGTGCTGGTCTTTATGTTTAAAGTAGTTATAAGACCTTCAACATCAAGTTATAAAGTTTGGTATTTGTTCACACTAAATCTAAATTTAAACATTTTGTCCAATACAATAACAAAAAAGTTATTATACAAGCAGATGTTTCACTTTATCATAGATGTTATTGATTTCATGTATTCATAAGACTTAACAAGAATTCTAAAAATTTATCAACAACATATGTTTAATCTTGTGTTAGAATACTATAATAAAAAAATTGATCTTTTCTTTACAGGTTTTTGATAGCAATGGTTCATTCCTGACTTTCGTAAATACATCAGCAGACCCATTGTATGGACCCCAGGGACTGACAGTAACACCAGAGGGCCTTGTTGTGGTTGGTGACTCTGGTAACCACTGTTACAAGGTCTATAAATATCTCCAGTAGTTCTTTTAACACAAACATGTGACCAACTACCATTAATTTGCTGTTTCAGAATCAAAAGGACTATGGATCATTTCCTTGTTTGTATTCCAAATTAAGATCAAACATGTCATTGGTTGAATTTTCATTGTTTCGAACATTTTAAACCAATCCCAATGTTCTGATGTTCATTTTTGAAAATATCACCAGAATGCATTTGATGCTGAAAAAGCTGAATTGGGAAATCATTGAATGAAACATACACAAATATTTTGTAATATTTGAACCCTTATCAGCTGACATGTCACCAGTAGGACTGAAGGCATTTCTTAAAATATTTGTTTTTTTTAGGTCAATGTATATAAGTAAACAAGTGGAGTTGTACAAAGAATTGGCTGCAATCATTCTACAATAATGTAATAAGCATATAAGTGTTTTCAAAGGAGTAGGCACAATTTGCCAAAATACAATTCTAATTGTAAAATTTTATAAATATTAGTCGAAAATAAAGAGTTGTTGCAATATGTAGTTGCATGGCAATCAATTTGAAATTGTCTATTAACTGTTAATGAGATATTGTTTTCATATACTCAATGATTTTGTGGTAATATGAATAAAAAGGTCTTTATAAGTGGACTTTCAAGGAAAAATTACCAGTTATTAGCAAAATTTTAGACTAATTTCAGGTTGATTTTTGCAACAATAACAAAAAAGAAGCATCACATCAAAAACTGTTCACCATTGAGAATATAATCACATAATATATTTATTTTGTCAGTATCTTTTTATACAATGGTTGTGCAAGACACCATTTGTTAGTCAAATTATAAATACCAAGGTTCTATGTGTAATTTTGTCATTTTGCTTTAATTACTGTGATTTGACAGCATTTAACCTGTAAATTTGTAACATAGCTATATTGGACGCCTGCTATCAAATTGAAAACAAAATTTATTTATAGAGTAAATGTTGTCCCAAATCAAACATTCTTTTTTATGGAATTTTGCTTAAGATAACATGGTTTTGCAATAATTTTAATGATCAGATTGATCTTCAAAAATATTTTGGTAGATCATATCTTGATGTCTGAATGCAGTCAACTTTTAAATTGTACAAATATCATGAAAACAAATATTGTTGTTTACCTTGGCAATCTTAACTCTTTTTCACATAGAAAGGGAAGTAACTCTAATCATTTATTATAACTGAGTTTCTATTATAAGAAAATTTAGTATCCTAGGAGTTTTCATATTCTTGAATTTTGACAGTTTTTGAATTTAAGTTACAAAAATGACACATAAGAGCCAGACCAATATTGCAGTTTAGGGATACTATAAAATGCATTGGTATTTTTATTCTAAATAATGGTAAATCTTTTTGAATTATTTCACATTTCATATGTCATGTAAATTAGCGATTTAAGGTCAATGTATATATGCTTATTTATTGTGTTTCTTTTGTAAAGAAAATGACAATGTAATCTAATGCATTTTTTTACATGTTGATGTTGTAATGATTTGTGAAAAAATTCTCCTGACAAATGTATGTACATCTCCTTACTGTATCTTTATAAAGGAAAATAATTGTTTGTAAATGATTGCTTTTACACTTTGTGCCTTTGATATTAGTGCTAAAAGATCTTCCAATTTACTTATTGTTCAGTTTATATTTTGTTTTTTTGTTTTTAATGCTTTCAAGGATGTAATAAATCAATGCAGTTACTAATTATATTCTCTTGAATTGTTTTTGAAATTGATCTGCTGCTCTCCAATTTGACATCTGTTCTTTTAAGGATCATCTCTTAATGACTGTCAAATAACAGAAAAAGCCCCTAGGCAGTTAATATTTAAAAAAATGAAGAAATAAGTTATAAGCTAATAATGGGCAGTTTTTTTGTTTTAAATTTATTTTTATTTTCTACAATGTTTATCTGTAGATTAAGAGTCGTATTTAGATTTTGTTGGCTAAAAAGTAACACAAAATATTCTCTGATTTGCATTAATAGATAACAATTTATCTGTGTATGAAGAGGTATGTTTTTTTTTTGAATTTTCAGACCTATGAATGTGGAGGGTGTTAAAGTTTTAATTGATCCTTTAAACCCAATTTATTTTGCTGAATACTCCCTCTCCATATAACAAGAACTGTTAATTTGTTTGCCAGATGCAGTGCATATGTATTTTCTTTGGCTGTCACATGCAGATTTCATCATTTCTAAAAATGAAACTACAAGTAAAATCATATAGATTAGACTAGACATGCATTTGTATTTATTATTACTGCCATGCATGTCAACCTCGTCTCTCTAATAAATTTTATTCTTGGAATGCACATATATCAGTCACAAAAAGCATCATCTAGATTTAACACATGTAACAAGATATTTTATTGTGTGGTGTGTTTAATTTTATATGACTAGATATTTTTTTTTTTGGTTTTTGTAAAGAAATATGAATAATACAGCTTGCATTTTTATAACAATCATATTGCCCATCTACATTAATATAGTGTTTTTATTTTAATGTATGCTATTTTCTTTGTGAAGCAATTAACAAGGGAGTGTTTTTGATAAATATACCAGTGATTGAACAGTTATCTATAGATATACAACTTAACTTAACTTATACTGGAACTAGTTGTTGTTTTGATCTTTCTGCTTGGTGCTCTATCATTGATGAGGACTCCCATCAGTTTTCGGACACAATATAACCAATGCAAAGCATTATAGCCATTCCAAATAATCCCATCTTTAAAAGGTATATCTGTGATTTATGTAAATAATTTACTGCAGAACTGAGGTTGTTTACATAAACTTATAAAGCATACATTCCTCCTTTATTGTTTTTTTTTATTTATTGATGTTGTATGTTGCTAATTTATTGAAGAATATGTTTATTTATGATATTTTTTATTATGTTTTCAATTTGTGTTGCATTGTTATGAATAATAAATGTGATCCAGCTTTTAATCGAGTTCGTAATTTATCTTCAGTTATATATGAATAAAAGAAGATTTGAGGTATACATTGATGAGGTAGCATCCCAACAACTAAAACAAATTCAGAAAAGGCATCTAGGAGCCAACATTTGTCTTATAGTGACATATTCATTAGTATTAATACCTCAAAAAATACCTCAAAAAATAAATAAATGGAGAATGTGTCCATGGGACACAGATGATGTCCGTGCAGAGTTATGGTCCTTGGACTTTCACTTAAATAATCAGTTTTCAACACTTTTTTTCGTCATGCTTGAAGATATTTGTTACATAGTAACACCATAACAAGTTATAGATCAAGTTAGCATTTTCTTCCTATACAATGAATTTTTAACTGGTAGGGGACTATGTATTGCCATGCAATACTCTCGGAATGCTTGTTAACTTATTGATGGACTTATGTATCACTTTGTTGTAGTCTACTTAAAGCAATAGTATTTTACCGATGTTCAAATCTCATAAATCGACTTATGAGACAAATCAAGGTAACGAACAGAAACTGAGGGAATTGCATATTCATATATTGCGATGGGTCAGCGCATCCTGCTATGCCTTCATCACACGCCGTCCAAATTCATAAGTGAAAATGTCACAATCGGGATAAGGACACAATCGAAAAAACTAAAGATTAAACGACTATTTAGGTATATAAAGACGTAACAGTGTGAAACATAAGCCATATAGACATTGATGAAGAAGAACACACGTCCTTGTCCCCATGTCTTTATCTATATTGATCCACGTTAACGGAATTCTGGTGATGACCAAGATATTTCCTTCTTATTTTGATATCTTTACAGACAAATTAGAAAGGAATTATCAACACTTCGCTGTAACAACCTATCACTTGGTTCAGTGTCACTGCCAACGTAGGCATGACGTGAATCCTATCCTTTTCAATGCAAACGACACCCATCTATCAATAAAATAAACTTTATGAGAAATCTTCGTTTAAAATCAGGTGTATGGACTCCAACTTTGACATTTGTTTTGAGCTTCCAACCGGTTTGATTAAAGTGTAACCGAGGAGTTTCGTGTCGACGAAACTAAATCCTAAGCCTGTAATCTGTAATGACTTTTTTTCATTTGACACTACCACACAAGTGATGAATGGTATCATATCAACAGATTTATGAAACAAAGATTATTATCTTCCTCCCTCAAGTTGTCATCATTAACAGTGTACTAACAGCATTCTCCCTCAGCACGGCTTTAAGAATTGAGAACATTTGTACAAACAACGACACCGAGACAAAACAATTAAAATATCTATTCTTTGGTCATATAGCTCTTCAGCTGTTTAGGTTATATATATCTTGGCTTTCAAGGGTTGGAGGGTCAAATATTCGGCTTTAAGCGTTCCTGAGAAGGTTAATCCTGAAAAGCGCTTCGGATGCATGAAATTTAAAACGTGTTGTTTCCATTATTAATCTTCACATAACTGACTGATCAACCGATGTGATCTTTTACAATATAGAAGAAAAGTTAGTGCTCAACAAAAAAATCTCACCAGATACCATGATTATACTTTGGTACACCAGTCCATATAAGACTCATTATTGCCGCTCAAATGAAAAAAAAGTTGGAAGGTCGATATCAAATACAAAGTTGAAAAGCATTGAAAACAAAAAAATCCGAAGTGTTCTACCAAATACGAATATGGCTATCAGGAATATGACAGTGAATCGGCGATTACTTCCTTGAAGATCGTTTTTTTTTCTCTTCACTTGGCGTCCGTCGTCATTAACTTTCACAAAAATCTTCTCCTCTGAAACTACTGAGCCAAATTTAACCAAACTTGGCCACAATCATCATTGGGGTATCTAGCTTAAAGATTGTGTCCGATGACTGCTCCTGCCAACCAAGATGGCCAACATGGCTAAAAATAGAAGTAAGGGATAAAATGCAAGTTTTGCGTATTATTTTGAAAACCGCTATAAAAAAAGAAAATCTTACAAGGCAAAAATTTTCAGAATGTTAAGGTCTACCTATTTTTCGTTACCGTTAAAACTGTCAGACGACTTCTTGTAGGAGTTATTGCCCTTAGAAGATGAATTTTACCATTTTTAAATTTGTTGCCTATTATCTCGAAAATTATAATAGATAGATAGAAACTTTGAATAGCAAAAATGATCAGCAAGACAAGAGCTACAAATAAGTCAAACATTGTCGAAATCTTCAGTCGACTCCTGATTAGAGTGATTGCCTTATATTGACGATTTTTACATATTTATTTTGCTTTTTTGTCTAATATCTTAAAAGCTATATTAGATAGATAGGAACTTTAAATATCAAAAATGAGCAGCAAAACAAGATCTACAAATAAGTCAAACATGACCGAAATTGTTAGTTGAATCATTATTGAAGTTATTGCCCTTTAATGACGATTTTTCCCATTTTTGCCTATTTTCTTGAAAACTGTAATAGATAGATAGAAACTTTAAATAACACACATGATCAGCAAGACGAGATCCACAAATAAGCCATAATGGCCGAAATCTTCAGTGGACCCATTATTGGATTTATTGCCCTTTAATGATAATTTTTAACGTTTTTTGCATATCATCTTAAAAACTATAACAGATAAATAGAAACTTCAAACAGGAAATATTATCTGCAGGATAAGATCTACAAATATGCCAACATGACTGAAAATGTCAGATAAATCTTAATAGATTTATTCCCCTTTATTGCTAATTTTTACTAAAAAGTGACCATTGTTGAAGACGCAGGTGAGCGACACAGTCTCTGTCGAGCCTCTAGTTTTCAAAAGAAGCCATTGTATATGGACTTTTTGGAGTATACTGTTTCTTGAAGGCTTAGCGTGGTATTTTTGTTCTATTCTTGTACAAGTCCTGAGTTTGTGTTTTCTTCTTGAAGGCTAAGCGTGGTATTTTTTTTCTATTCTTGTACAAGTCCTGAGTTTGTGTTTTCATCTGATTTTTTTACTATTCTGAATTTGTAGAACTTTTAAAAATTAAATTATATTCAAGTCAATACCTTTCCGCTAATCAACGTTTGGTTTGTATGTCGTTTGCGATTACTAACGATGTGATATGTTGTGGTGGCCATTTTCCAACAGACAACTTATGCGAATACATGATATTCGTTATCCATATTATATAGTTAATTTTGTATTTATGTTTGATGTTATTCTAATTCCTTTCTATTTATTTGTATTGATGTTGTATAACTTTGAATCGCATTTATGAATAAGAATAAATTAATCTAGACTTAGATTTAAATAACTCTGTAGATTGATCATAATAGTAGAAGAGAAGTTGAGAGTCTTCCAACAAATTAATCTTTACTGTTTTTATGTAATTCTGATGCCAATAATTTCACATTCAACTCATATATATAAAACTACGTTTAAAAAATTAAAATAGACTTTCCGACCCTCATATCTTTTTCGACCAATATTTTCTCGTTTTCAATCGGACTCTCTCAAAAATTTATATTTATTATCATAGTTTGATTGTCCTGAATATTTGCAATAAATATTTGCCAGTAAACAAAAAATAAATCTTTTATAGTTGAGGTCATACATGAAGGCAATTTATCAATTTTAGTACAAAGGTAAAAATAGACAAACATGAAAAGGAAAATATTTGGAATCCTAATAAACCCCAACCGAAAGAAGACAATTTGTTAAGGAAGGGTAGGCAAAGATTCTATGACTTAGCATGTTATTTCAAACAAAAAACACCAACAAGTAATATAATAAAACTGGTAATAACGTCCGATGTACACGTATATGACTGGGTAAACTTGTTCCTTGCTAGATGATATGCTGAGGCACAGTAATCGTCAACCAATTCCTGATGGCAACCGTGGAATGGAGCAATGAACCCTGATGAGTGTTACATACTCGAAACGTGCGTCTATCTCAATAAATTATCAGCCTGATATGGTTTTTATTACCAAATAATTTCATAAACATTCTGTTGTAAAACAATTGACTCAACACTAGAACTTTGATGAACAGTAAGTTTATTGCAGATTTGAAGATGATTATCTCATAAGAATCACTGAACAGATGTAATCGTAATGCATAAAAAAAGGTATACGCTTCAATGTATAGAAGTCTACAAGTTGATTTGTAATAGGAATTGGCTGCAGTCATTCTACAATAATGTAATACGCATATAAGTTTTTTCAAAGGAGTAGGTACAATTTGCAAAAATACAATTCTAATTGTAAAATTCATTCATAAATATTAGCTGAAAATAAAGAGTTGCTGCAATATATAGTTGCATAGCAATCAATTAGAAATTGTCTATTAGCTCACTGTTAATGAGATATTGTTTTCATATACTCAATTATTTTGTGGTAATATGAATAAATAGGTCTTTATAAGTGGACTTTCAAGGGAAAATTACCAGTTATTAGCAAAGTTTTAGGCTAATTTCAGGTTAATTTTTGCAACAATAACACAAAAAAGAAGCATCACATCAAAAATGTTCACCATTAAGAATATAATCACATAATATATTTATTGTGTCAGTATCTTTTTATACAATGGTTGTGTGAGACACCATTTGTTAGTCAAAATGTAACTACCAAGGTTCTATGTGTAATTTTGTGATTTTGCTTTAATTACTGTGATTTGACAGCATTTAACCTGTAAAATTATAACATAGCTATATTGAACGCCTGCTATTAAATTGAAAAAAAAAAGATTTATTGATAGAGTAAATGTTGTCCCAAATCAAACATTCTTTTTACGGAATTTTGCTGAAGATAACATGGTATTGCATTTATCTTAATGTTCAGATTGATCTTCAAAAATATTTTGTGAGATCATATCCTGATGGCCGAATGCAGTCAACTTTTAAATTTACAAATATCATGAAAACAAATGTTATTGTTTACCTTGGCAAATTTTACTCTTTTTCACAGTGAAAGGGAAGTAACTCTATTCATTTATCATAACTGAGTTTCTATTATAAGAAAATTCTAGTATCCTAG